AAAGAGATCTTGCATACTCACAGTTTTTTTATAAGTCTTTTATGCTTTGTTCATCTATGGCATATTCAATGAATTTCCTTCAGAAATAGAATAATCTCTTTGAGAGATTCCATCCACTTTTATGTTATGAGCTATTATCAACTACAGTCAGCTCCCAAATCTATACATTCTGTTGTCTACTCCAGATCCACGTGGTCAGCTGCCAACTGGCAATCTCCTCTAAATTTTTGCTGACATCTGATCTTACCAGGCCAGCATCACATCTATCCCTCACCCCAAAAGGACTAAGTCCCCTCAAAGACAATCAAATCACTCTTCCTGTTACTTAAGCCAGATACCTGCAGAGAATACCTCCCTCACCTAATCTCATGGCTTATTGATTTTGCTCTTGGGCAGACTTTCTTCTGGGCCTTTCTTTTCAGCTTCCACATCCACAGCTATCCTCATTTCTTTCCTGTTATTGCACTATTTTTTTGTTTTCCCTGCTATCCATCCTTCATGGGAATGTGAAATGATCTTCCTAAATACACACATTTAATCCTGTGTCTCTCCTGGTTCCCAAGGCCTCAGTGAATCAAGTCCAAACTCTCTGAAGTTTAAAGAAAAGCACGTAAAGCCCTCATGATTGAGTTTTTCTGTTTCTGTCTAGCATCTGCCATCTTCTTCCCACCCGCATTTGACCAACCAGTCATGTTAAGTCACTTAAGATTTCTCTGCTGTTCCTCTTATGCTGCTGCTATGTGTGTACGTGTGTGTGTGTGTGTGTGTGTGCTGGTCATTTTGTCAAGACAGTCCTTATTCCTTTTCTCTGATGGAAAATTCCTGCTTGTCCTTTGAGATGCAGGTCTGGTGTTATCTTTCTTGTGAGACGTCCCTGATTCCCTCCAGGCACAAGTGAGTCTTTTCCCCACCCTTCCTGAACACATTTCTATTGTGATGCCTAGTAATATGCATTTTGATCATTTATTGATTGGTCTGTGTCTAACCACAAGCTTCTCTAGGACATGGCCTCTTGCCTTTTTCATCTTTGTATTGCTAGCACCTAGCACAGTACTTGGCATATCCAGAGCACTTGCTAAATATCTGTTGAGAAAATGAATAAATGAATGAATGAAACTTAGCATGTTTTAAAAAAAAGTTTTATGCCCTTCCCTGAACCAATAACTGTGGCCATAAAGACTAGATATTCTGATTGACTTAAGCCAATTATTGCCCCTCCTAAAAGTGTGGGAAAGGCCTATCCCCTCAATCACATGGCTACCAGTATGATAGGGTGTTAGATAGTCAGAGAGGTCAACTCCTCACTTAGAGGGGGAGCAGTGAGGATTAGGAAACATGAAACAGGGCTCAGGGCTACACCAAACAACTGTAACTTGCTATTCATTTGCTACATTTGCTGCATATAAGCCATGACCTCACAAGAGTTTTTAGAACAGGTGGTCTTCCCAAATTATCCTTCCCGATGTCTTGGCAGAAGAAAACTCTAGATTAAGGATCAAAAGCTCTGACTTCTGATTTTGGCTCTGTTGAGACATTGAATCTTTGAGATTCTTTGTTTTCTCAACTACAAAATATGGATGATGACACCCGTGCTACCAGAATTGTCAAGAGGGTCAAATGAAATGATTAGCTCTTTCAAGAATACCTAAAACATATTTAGAAGGAACTGTTTGTAATCTCACCCTTAGTGCTCACATCTGCATATTATTCCTTATTTTGAGAGATTAAGAAAATTAAGACAAGGCAATCCCTACTTTCTCTTTGTTCACCCACTATAGCCAACAAGGCCTTCTTTCTATTTCCTCATATGTGCTGTATCAGTCATGATTTTTATAGTTCAAGGAATGGAAAATCCTATCCCAAATGGCTTCAACAATAGGGCATTTTTATTCTCTCATAATAAGGCTCTGGTAATAGTAATTCAGGACCAGGCTGCCACATCTTTTGGCCCCAAACCCATCCCAAATCCCCGGGGTTGCTCTCATTCTCAGCCAGCTGCTATAGTTCCAGAAACCACAGACAGAGAGGAAGTGTGCCCTCATGTGTGTCTCTTTTTATAAACTAGGAAATCTTTCCCAGAAAAATCCTCATATCTTACTGACCATATGCCCACCCTTAAACCAATCTCTGGCAAAAGGGGGATGGGATTTGTGTGATTGGCTAAGCTTATTCAGGATTCACTCTTGAGCTAGGGATAGGGCTATTTTTTACACAACCATATGGTAGAAAATGATCTGAAAATGATCAGGGCCTGACAGTTAAAAGAGTGGGTGATGGGGTCTGGAAAGGCCCATCAACAGATGCTGTCAGTGCCTTGTTCACATCCCCAGGCCCTCGGACCTGACTGCACATCACTGACTTCTGATCTCCAGTACCTACATTTCTTTGCTTGCAAGATTTTTCTGATCTTTGGGACCTGCTTTGTTCCCTACATAATAGGCTGGAAATGCTAGAGGATTAATGTTCCACCCTAGGAATGGCCCTTGATGACGGATAAGGGTATGCATACTCCAGGTGTGTAAATGTCCCAGTCCTCTCATCCCTAGGGTGAGATAACTCTGTGATGTTTGTTCTACACTGGCTTCCAGAGTGTCCTCAGCAGAATTATGCTCCAGTTGCCCACAGTGGTAGCCGCACAACCATGCTCCCTTACTAAAGACCGCCTTCCTTATCACGTCTCACTTCTCCATTCCACTATCACGTCTTCTTCACCTCCTTTGACATTTTGTCTCAGAGTTGGCTTGTGGGGAAACCAAATGAAGATGTGCTGCACCATATGCCAAACTCCTTCCTGAACCAGAGGCTTTGTGGATAGCATCCCATCTGCTTGGAACGCGCTTCCTCTTCCTTCTCACCTGATGCACGCTCACTTTCCCTCCAAGTTTCAGTGCAAAGTTCACTTCCCTTGGAGAGCTTTCTTTGATTTCCCCCCACGGAAGCCCTTCTCTCAATGTTTGCCCTCTTCCTCTGTACTGCTAGCAAGGCTTATCATAGTTATCATTGAATTGCTTGTTTGTGTTAATATTTGCTTTCCATCTCTATCCCCAACCTATGCCTGAGGTCAGGGATGCTATTCTTGGCCTCCTTGCATTGACAGCCCTTATTACAATGCTTGGCACAGAGTAGAGAGGATGGAGGGAGACCTGGCTGGTTTTGGAAAGATGAGCCTGTGAAAGACTAAAGATGCAAGTTTGAAGCTCAATCACACAAACATAATTATTGAAGCTTTGGATGAAAAAGGTCTTTTATCCATCTGACTCCTACAAGGATTTACATTTATTTCTTGTGACAAAGCATAAAATTTATAGATAAGAGGGATGTCCATTTTAAGAGAGAAAATCTTGATGTGGCATACTTATATCTATAAAATATGTCATTTTAATCATTTTTAAATAGAAACAGGATTCCATCCCAAATCCACAATTTATTCATTCTTTTATTTATTCAATATCTACTTATTGGGCATTGTTTCTGGCAAGCTTTTAGAATTATGTGCCATCAACTCTTCTCAGAAGTCATTAGAGAGAATATATTAATGGAGAATATTCCAGGTTCTCTTTCAGCTTTTGGCTTTCATTAAAAGAACAGGGCAATGCTATGAAATCAATCACTGTATTTTCTAGTAAAGGGTGATTGAGGACATTATCAGTCTTGTCACTTGGTGCTTACAGGGGAGAAATTTCTTTTAGTGATAAGTGGAATGAAGCAGGTAAGTATAAACAAGCATACAGACAAGTGTGCCTGCCATCTCTTTGTCAGGCAGACTCCTTCTCACAAATTGCTAAACCTGACTCTCAACCTTGACAGGGGATGAATCCAGGTTTTGTGGGGGTTGAGGCTTATGTATTTTAGAATCCCTATTTGGGAAAAAACTATAAAACTACAAATAAAAACTGAAGACAGAGTCTTGGAAGGGGCATAAATGAGGGAAGAGATCTGAAGTTTCAGCCTCATTGGTTCCACAGGAAATTAGTACCAGTGAAACTGGTGTCTTCCTGCCCCATACCCCTGCCACATTTGTTCTGACCACCACGACTCATTTATGTTGCCTTTTTACTTGCAAGGCCTTCCTCCTGCTGCTTCTTCAATCCCAAGACCATAGTTTTTCAAAGTTTGGTCCCACAGTGCGTTGACTCTACCCAGCAGGAAAGTCATTCCTTCCTTAAAGGCCTACTGTCCCATGTGTAGAACCCAGGACATTTGTCATGAACTGCTCTACTTGAGGAGTGTAGATCATGCCTTCTCTAGTAAGATTATCCACTCTCTAGGACCCAGAATGTTTCTTCTTTTAGACTTCTGTCAACACTAAGCATGGTTTTGGGTACAGCAGGAAGGGAAAGGACAGAAGAAAGGTCTCCTAGAAGCAGAATGATGGGGTGTGGAGTTAGGAAGGCCTAGTAGTGTGCCAGCTTTGCCACTTACCAGGGTGGCACCTTCAGCAAGTCTCTCAACTTCTCCAAATCTCAGTTTTGCCACTGATCAAATGGATTGGATAGTGATATTTATTTCGTATTATTGTGGTGAGGAGAAAGTAAAAGTATGTATTCACTCACTAAGTATTCATTTAGCCCCTTACCTTGGGATGTTTCTGACATCAGGGACTTGGAATGAATATGAATGAGAAATCAGTTGAGTCGGCAGATGGAAATTTATAATGGGACAGGATAAGGCCACAACAAACACAGGAACACAGTGTGGAGACAGACACATAGTAAGGGTTCCAAAAGTAGTTGTTAAATAAATGGCTAACACATCGAGGGCATTCAGAAGAGAAAATCATTAATTTTGCGAAATAAGTAACTTTACAGATTTGCAAGACTATCTTGGTGCAGATATAATAGCTATTAAGTGCCTGGGAAGTTGTAACATGCTACGTGTTAAAGAAAATAAAATCAATAGGCAAAAGAATTAGCCAGGATTAGATGAAGAGAGAACAGAAAAAAAGGGAAAGAGAGGACCCTAAGGTGGCAAGGAGGAGGAAGGGGTGTCTGTTGACCCACCTGACCAAGTGTGCACTCCATGCCACCAAGGAAGTCAGCCTCCTTCAGCCCATTGTGGTTGCTGCTGATGTCATGGACTTCAAACCGCAGGCGCTGTACCTCTTCAAAGTAAAAGTCCACGGTAAACAGTTTTGAGTACACTGGGTTTATGCAGGTGCGAATCACCTCTGTCCTGTCAACCTGCAAGGGGAGAGAATGAGAGAACTTATAAAGGATTAGGAAATTTTTTTATGAACTTGCAAGCAAATTAATTTCATGGTGCTTCTGTTCTTCCCAATTGGAAATGCTCCCCATCAAGTCACCAGGGTGGGAAGTTCGAAAATCTACAAGCACCAACTTTAGAAAATGAGCCAAGTTTCAAAGAGGAAACTATTAGTAGACATAACAACGTGAAGTTTTATATATGAGTATGTTGTATTTTTAGGTAATAGAGCAAGTTGAATCAATCAGTAGTGGCTGCCAGGGGCTTGAGGGCATATTTGGGCTCAGGAACAAGAAATCTGTAATTGGTTAGTTATGTCTGATAGGCACAGTAATAGAAAAATGGCAGTGTAGGTGTCTCATTTTAGCCAACTCTAGTATGAATTTCCTAACTCATGATTTCCAGCATAATGAAGGGGGGGGCATAGGAATAGATAAGGCAGATAAGAAGGTAACTGCCTTTGGTGTCAAGTATATCCTTTATTACGTGTATGATGTTTGCCTACTCATTTTAGTTCCTTAGGCCTCAGTATCCTCATTAACGAAATGAAAACTAGAGGATTGGAAGATGAAAAGTCTGTCCTGCTCTAACATGAAGCTGTGATCCCCTTTGCCTTCTGTGATAATAACTTTGTTCCCCTCTCTTGGATCCATATCTGCCACTTTCTGCCCTACTCTGCAACCAGGAGGCTGACCTCCATAAATGGAATTTCCTGGGCTCCCTTGCCCTCTGAGTTCTGGCTGGGGTCAGCCAAATAAAATCATAGAAGTTCAGGCATATCTCTACATGCCCAGATTCTACTAGCAGATTCCTTTCCACAGAGGGAGGTTTCTCTGGGATTTGGTAATACTGTTCCTCTCTAGAGCCTTCAGAGTGAGGGACAGTAATGGGTTTCTGCAGTTGCTATCCCTGATGTCTCTCATTGCCTTACCTTCCTTTGCTGGCTCCCTTAATCTGCCCATGTGTCAGGAAAGAGCTCTTCTCTAAAGAGAATAGCCCTTTAGGTTTAGCTGTCTGGGCATGCCCTATGTTTTCTGCTGGGATCCTTACCAACAAGGATCTTTTCCTCCATGTTTGTCACAGGTAAAAAAAGAATACACAAAATCATTGATATTCCAGAAAACATTAAGGAACTAAGTTGTAGATACCCAAGATCCTACAGCATCTCTCAACTGGAGATAACCATCCTTCATTTTTTACAAATCAACTGGAGCCTATGTCAGCACTGTCAGCTTTCAAATAGAAACCTGGTTTATTGGTTATTTCCTAAGTGTCATCTGTTAGCACAAACTAGGAGGATCATTTCTCTCAGTTTCATGTGCATAAAGGAAAATACCTTCTCAATAAAACAAAGGGAAGGCAGTTTTTTAAACATATGGATATCCATATTGTCCAGTGAAAGAAACTGATACTTGTTCCAAACTCCCCTGATCCTCTAAGGTCAATGCTTTAGCCCTGGCCCTAGCTCTTCTCATGTAGAGATACATGTGAAAGAGGGTTGTCATTTAAGAAACGCTGTCTGAAGGGGAGGGAGGGGGAAGGGAGGGGGTGGACCAATAGAGGGAAGGTTGGTAGGGGGACCACACCTATGGAGCATATTGCAAGTACAAGTTGGATCTATCAGGTGTAGAGCATAAATGTCCTAATCCTATAATAGGGTAAAAGTGGTGAAGGCCATGTTGCTTAATAGGATGTAAACATTCCAATTTGTACAAATAATCATCACATTGAATCTTATAATGGCATAAATGTATTTATGATCTATATACACAAGACTTAATAAAAAAAAAAAAGAAAGAAACACTATCTGGCATTTGTTGTTGGGTGGCCAATCCAGATTGCAAGATGAAGGAGAATATAGTTCTTGTTATGTCCCTGTCCAACAAATAGGAAGTCAAGAAACCAACTCCATCCCTATGTTGATTAGGATTTTATAAGTTATTATTCAGACCAATGGTTATTTGAGTATTCCAGCTTACCATGAAGACCTAGTTTCTATTTGAACTGAATTTTATATTCTTATGTAATATTTATGGGATAGAGTGACAGGACTCATTATGATTATACAAGTATGAGAATTTATTGAATTGACATAATTATTTTCAGTTGTTCAAAGATCATAGTTTTGAATATAGTATAAATTAGAGATTATACACTGGTAGTCTGCAAGTGTTAGCTGACTTGAAGATATATTATTTGTCTCATTCAAAGTATTTTTCCTTTAATTTGACAACATAAAAAGAAAGCTGCTTCCATTGCCCTCCCTTCAGAAAAAATTAGGCCACATTGCTACATGGTAACAATTGAAGACTGTCCCATTCGGACAGGGCATTCACGCTCCAGTTCTCACAGTCCCTTCCAGGCTCTTCTCCCTCAACTCTGCCTGGCCCCTAGAGGCATTTTTGCAACATCTGGTCCAAATTCATGGGGCAATGAGCCAAATGATAAAAGATTTAATTATATTTGTGTAGAATCTTAAAATGGAGGACTTCAAAATAACCCCCAAGATGTTATGTTATAGGTAGATGGATGTCCTCAAGACAGAAAAGGTGTGTTCTCTGCTTGTGGATGGAAGAAGAGAGTCCTGAGCCTGAGGTTTAGATGATACAAGATAGGATGTGGAAACTCTAGTCTTTGTTATTCTGCTCTAACCACCCTAAATGGCACAAACGAATGATGTGCACCAATCCTGGTGCTTTTCTTCCTACTTTTTGACTTTCAGATAGTGTTCCCACACATTAGTAGATATAAAATATTGGCATCAAGCCACACATTTCCAAGGTAAGCTGCCAGCATGCCACACCCAGTGACTTGGTTTTGGGTGGGAAATGAAAAGATGGAAAAACATTAAAGATAAATAATTTCCAAGGATAATCTAAGAGCTGGTAAGAATCCAAAGAGTATAAATGCTTAAGAAAAGAAGTAAAATGATGATAAGGGAAGTGTTTGCTATAATAAGTGAGTGTTTGAAAGATGTTTCAAACCATTCTGCATTTCCAGTTATCTTGGAAGAAGCATTATCTTTTCTGGAGGCTAAATTTAGGTTTCTCTTGAACAATAGGACTTTGGACAGCTCATGTTTCTTATTGAAAGGCGTCAAGGTCCAGGTAGTTGTTTCCAAAAGATCATCCACTTACTAGTGCCACTAGCTGCATCAGAATCAACTGGGGAGCTTTCTTTAAAACTCAGATTCTTTTTCCCTTCCCAGGCAATTCCAATTTAGTTAAGTATAGGGCATGGCCCAGACATTTCTATTTTTAAAACTATTCTAGAGAATTCTGACATGGGAATATCAGTCTAGGGGAAATGAGGGGATATAGGGTCTTTCCCTAGCTTTCATGCAAAATCAAGATTGATTTTAGTCTTGCTTATACTCTGTTATCCAGTCTATAAAAATGTGAATGCTTATCTTCCCTCTTCTCATTACTTTATTGTTTATAGAACATGTTCTTATCCCTTTAAAATATTTGATTCTTTTAGCAAACATGTGGTGTAGCTTCATACTGTTTTACATATAAGAAAAGCCAAGGTCAAATATCAACACGAGGTACCACATGTCAGTGTCAGCACTTGAAGTCACACCTTCTGACCTCAAAGCCTGGGCTACATTCCTTAATTTTGTTTATTCATGAGTAGCCCTAGAAAGAAAGGAAAAATACAGCTGGGTTATAGTATGATGGTGATAGAGTCAATCACTGACCTTTAAAATATTTTTCCATATAAATAAAGTTGATACTAGCTAACACTTTTGGAAGGCCTGTTATGTCATAGGTACTAATATAAAAAGAGCATTATTGAGGTATAATTGATATGTGGTTAAGTCACATCTATTTAAAATATGCTATTCAATACATTTGGCATTTATATACCTGTAAAAGCACCATCACAATCAAAATAATGAACATATACCCACCCCTAAAATTTCCCACGCTTTCTTCTCAAACCCTTCTTTTCATCTTTCCTTGCCATCCCCAAGAAACTACAGATCTGTATTCTGAACTGTAGATTAGTTTGTATCCTTTTTATATATAAATGTACATCAAAATATACAGTATGTTGTCTTTTTGTCTTTATTCCTTCATGCAGCATAATTATTTTGAGATGTATCAATTGTCACATTAGTGGTTCATCTTTTTACTGATGAGTGATATTTCACTGATGGATACTTGGATTATTTCCAGTTTTTGGCTATTACACATAAAACTGCCCTGAATATTCATGTTCAAGCCCTTTGTATGGGTATGGATTTTTTCTTCTCTTTGGTAAACAACTAGAACTAAAATAGGTGTATGTTTAATTTTTTAAGTTCTAGTAGGTGTCGTGTAGTATCTCATTGTGGTTTAATTTCTATTTTTCTAAAATGAAAGATACTGAGGATTTTTTCATTTTTTATTTGCTATCTGTATATCTTACTTGATGAAGTGGCTGTTCAAATCTTTTGACAGGCTCTTGCTTTTCCTCCTTATGATTATACACGAGCAGGTAGGTAGTATTATTATCCTCTCTTTACTGAAGGATAGACAACTTCCAAGTAGCAGAGGTGAGATTTTAACCTAGGTAGTTAAGCTCCAGAGTCTGTATATTTAACCACTATGCTATATTGTCATGCAATTTTCAAAGTAATACAACAGCCAGACAATAAATATAAATGTGGAACTGACGGGGAAAGTTAATGAATGAAAATCAAGGTGTCTCTGGAGTTCTGACTTGTCCACTGGGCATGTTGAAGATACAACAGGGGCCCTGAACAATGCTCATAGAAATTAGATTGGTAAGGGACAAGGTAAATGTGCCATCAGCAAACAGTTCAAGACTAAGCACAGAATGACCATCTACTCCCTGGAATTTCCAAGAGCTGGAACTGTCGCAGGCAAAGTTGCAGAGGACAGGTGAGGCTTAAACAATGCAACGATATTGGTGAGGAGGCAGGATGCAAAGGCAGGAACCAAAGTTATTACCAGTTGTTGAATTCTCTAAG